CTCCTCGCACACACACATGGGGAAGAAACCACGGATGATGAAGGGGGAGGAGTGAGACGAAGGTGGAGAGGGGAGAGAAAACGGGTTGAACTCGTAGTCGTCCAAAACAAATAGTCTCCCGCCAAATTTCCAGCAAATGTCTGTCCTAAAAAAAGCCGAATCAGATCCTGGGCGCTCATAGGCCCGAAATAGTCACCACCTGCAATCTCTCTCTCTCTCTCTCTCTCTCTCTCTCTCTCTCTGAAGAAGAAGAAGAAGAAGAAGAAGAAGAAGAAGAAGAAGAAGAAGAAGAAGAAGAAGAAGAAGAAGAAGAAGAAGAAGAAGAAGAAACAGAGGGAGGACGAAAAGAAGAAGAAGAATAGTCGCTATGTAGGGGCAGAGAAGAATCAGCGTACGGAGAAGAATCAGAGGAAGGAGAAGAAGAAGAAGAACTCTCCTCTCTCGCGTGCTCCTGATGATGATGCCACAAATACTGACCAGCAAAGGTGATGACTCCCGATGCGGGCTGCTGCTGAAGGCCGGTCCCATGACCGGTATGAAGTCTCAGCTATGGCGCCCAGGTAAGTCTCCCCCTGCCTCATGGACATGGCCTCTGCCAACCTCTCCACTCCAGCCTCCTCCTCTACTCCTCTAACGCTGCTCTATCGCAGCTCTCCCCAAACTGGCAGTGCTTCAGCAGCGTGACGCCCAACTGAGGCTCCAGGCCGAATGTCCTCAAAGTGGACTGGCCCATCTATATACCGCAGGGCCTGGCTGAGTAGCCCTCGGTCTGCAATCAGGACCGTGGATCTGATGTCCGATTGATGGTCCTGATCACAAGCCCAGTTCCTGGTCCTATGGTCGTCCTGGCCAAAAACGGCCTGCCTGGGTCCCTACCGGATGTCCAGGCAACCCTGCTGATGCCGCAGGGTCCTGAGGACTGGGCCAGGCACAAAGAGATGAATGCCTGGTCCAGTACCAGATACGGACAAATCAGAACCTGGCCTACAACGGCTGAAACTGAAATCCAATGGTCCGAACAGGCATCTGCCTGTTCGGACAAAAAGAAAAGTCCGAAGCGACACATCTGGAACAGACAAAAAGAGTCCAGACAAAACCCAGCCCCAAACTCACTCAGCAAAACTAAATGAATAAATGCTGAAAAAGGAAAGTCTGGAAAGAGAATGGGACGAGCATATAAACCTAGGCCAAAAACGTGGCCGTGGCCCGCCAACTCGCCCAGCCAAAGGCGGCTGTGTGGCCTGAGGGCCGAGAAGGAAACTGTCGGGCCTGAAGGGCCCATGCAGGAGCATGTAGAATGCTACTGTCCCCCAGGAGTGGAAAAACCTGCTCGAAAGGCCATCCAAGTGGAGGGTGGGTAATTGGGCAACTTGGGAATCTGAAGCACTCCCCACAACTGCCCTTTCCTTCGTCAAAATGGTGGGACCGCAACAAGACGGGTGTCTGATGGTAATGTTTGACATAGAGAAGCCAGGTGAAATTGAGAGAAGAATATAGTACACAAAAAAAAAAAAAAAAAAAAAAAAAAAAAAAAAAAAAA